ACTGCCTTTCAGATAAAGCAGAAAGCTTAGTACTGACAAGGCTATGTGACGTCTTAATTAAAAAATGCACCCCATTAAAATTCAGCAGAAGTGCCGTTTTGACTTGTTCCTTCACTGCACAGAAGAACTTTATATGCACAAGCTAAATGCAAAATCAGTCCAAATAGAAATCAGAGGAAAATGTGAGCAGGGATAAGATAATGGAAAGAAAAGCAGCAATGGATAATTGCATGGGGTAATCTACAATTTCTTAAGTAGTTTGCAATTGGATTACATAGACAAGAGAGATATTTACAGTGGTACCTCGGGTTAAGAACTTAATTCGTTCTGGATGTCTGTTCTTAACCTGAAACTGTTCTTAACCTGAGGTATCACTTTAGCTAATGGGGCCTCCCGCTGCCGCCGCGCGATTTCTGTTCTCATCCTGAAGCAAAGTTCGTAACCCGGGGTACTACTTCTGGGTTAGCGGAGTCTGTAACCTGAAGCATCTGTAACCTGAGGTACCACTGTACTGTTCCACTATCAGGCCCACCTGAACAGACAGACCATCAGGTGATAAGACTGCAGGGATTTGAAGTGCTGGCTGAAATAGTCTAATCCTTGGGGAAAATAATGTGTACATACATCTCTAGAAGTGTAGGAGACAGACAGCCTTTAGATTTTTACTGAAAAGGGTGGAGGCTACGTTGAGCCAATGCAAGGAGTTTGGTTCCTCCTCTACCTATTCAACTTTTAAATACCATTTTTTTGTTGCATTTGCAGCCCTTTTCACAGTTCTGATGCACAGTTTTCCTGGGTGATTTATCCTCATTAATATAATTTTGCATGCATGAACCTGACATGCACATTATGTGAATGCACAGCAACCCTGCAAAATTTGCACACATAAAAACCAAGCTAGGGAGGTCTGTGTCACCAGGTCTGCCAGTGAATGGTTTGCACCATGGGTCTCAGCTGTCGAGAAGAATGGTGAGAACACAGCCCCACGCCTCTCCCCACAAACACAGCACCCTAGCTCAGGTCGCCTATCCCTAAACCTGACTAAGATGGAAGATGTACTATCCCAAAAACTCATGTTAATAGGAAAAAGGGCTCCAAGGAGGAACTCTCCGCCCAATGTTATTCTTGTCACTCAGTAGTATCACTGCGGAGTCAGTGAATTTTGGGTGTCCTCTGAAGCTGCTGTCAAGAAGGTTCTCTCACCATCTGCCCATCCCATGGCACAACAGCATATAATAGTGCCAACCACTTGTTAAAATCCTTTTATCATGCATCCCTTTTATTGTGGTGTTTTTTTTTAAAAAAATAATAAATTGTGTAATATTACTCTGCTACGGGCACACCCATTCGTGAAGCACAAAACCCCAACATGAAAGCTACACATGAAAGCTGCATGGTATCTTCAGACCACAGTCCCAAATAACATGAAAGCAGGAGAGAAGCATCCCACTTCGAACCAGTTTGGAGGGAATGAGGGACTGCCCAAGGGCACCTGATGTCATCTCAGCCCATGCCTTAAAAACAACAACAACACGGCTTCACTGAAAAGGGTTTGTCTTAAAACCCATTAAGGTCAAAAGATAATGTTTTGAAAAACGTATGTATACACAGAAGTTTTGAATGACTTAATGCTAAGAAAATACACATGCAGGTTTAAGCTCAGAAATAGCCCCCAGGGAGCTCTCTGCAGTGTTAGATTTATCAAAAAGCGGGGGGGGGGGGCAGCTCCTGTATCTTTTCCATGTTTACACTGGCAATCACCGAGAGCCCAACTGAGGACAGGCGCATGGAGACAACAGGTGCACTGCGGTCCCACTCAACATCCTCTTCTCCAAAATGCTCTGTCCATGACCGGAAGACACACAGACTCAAGATTCCTTGCCCTAACCCACCCCAGTTTCAGGAGGATACAGTAGTGCCCCGCAAGACGAACGCCTCGCAAGACAAAAAACTCGCTAGACGAAAGGTTTTTTCGTCCGCGATTTGCCTCGCAAGACGAATTCCCCTATGGGCTTGCTTCGCAAAAGGAAGCTTGCCCCGGGGACAGCGGGTCTTCTCTTTTGAAGCAAGGGGCTGTGGGGAGATAGCGATCTCCCTGCAGCCCCTTGCTGCAAAAGACGTCCGGGGGAAGCGGGGAAGCGAAGCGCTTCGCTTCCCCGCTTCCCCCGGACCTCTTCTGAAGCAAGGGGCTGGGGGGAGATAGCGATCTCCCTGCAGCCCCTTGCTGCAAAAGATGTCGGGGGAAGCGGGGAAGCGAAGCGCTTCGCTTCCCGCTTCCCCCGGACCTCTTCTGAAGCAAGGGGCTGGGGGGAGATAGCGATCTCCCCCCAGCCCCTTGCTTCAGAAGAGGTCCGGGGGAAGCGGGAAGCGAAGCGCTTCGCTTCCCCGCTTCCCCCTGACGTCTTTTGCAGCTGTTTCCGAAGTGGGGCGGGGGGGGGGGGCGGGGTCACCTGCCCCAGCCGCCCCACTTCGGAAAGCTGTTCCGAAGCGGGGAGGGGGGGCGGGGACATCTGCCCCAGCCGCCCCACTTCGGAAAGCTGTTCCAGGAACAGCTCCATAGGAACCTCCATAGGCGCCCGTCACCTCTCCAGCCAGGAGAGCGCGCGCGGGGCTAAACCAGCCCCCCGCGACCCTCTCCCAGCTGGAGAAGTGACGCGCGCCTATGGCAGGAGCCTCCATAGGCGCCCGTCACCTCTCCAGCCGGGAGAGCGCGCGCGGGGCTAAACCAGCCCCCCGCGACCCTCTCCCAGCTGGAGAAGTGACGCGCGCCTATGGCAGGAGCCTCCATAGGCGCCCGTCACCTCTCCAGCCAGGAGAGCGCGCGCGGGGCTAAACCAGCCCCCCGCGACCCTCTCCCAGCTGGAGTTGTGACGCGCGCATATGGCAGGAACCTCCATAGGCGCCCGTCACCTCTCCAGCCGGGAGAGCGCGCGCGGGGCTAAAGAAACCATAGCCCCGCGACCCTCTCCCAGCTGGAGAAGTGACGCGTGACTATGGCAGCAGCCTCTGAAGGATGCACCGAAGCCTGGCGTGGGGGGGGGGGCGGAGAGACCTTCTCCCCGCGCCAGCCTTCGGATGGCTGTCCTGAAGACTTGGGGTGGGAGAAGGGTTTTCCTTCCCACCGCCAACATTCAGAATGCTGTTCTGAATGTTGGCGGTGGGGAGGAAAAACCCTCCTCCCACGCAAGCCCCGGGAACAGAGGGAAAGCGCTGCGCGCCTTCCCCTCTGTTCCCGTACCTGTGCTGAAGGCTTGCGGTGGGGAGAAAAGCCCTTCTCCGCACCGCCAGCCTGGCAAGCGGTTTCCCTAGGAACGCATTAATTGATTTTCAATGCATTCCTATGGGAAACCGTGCTTCGCAAGACGAAAAATTCGCTAGACGACAAAAATTGCGGAACGAATTAATTTCGTCTTGCGGGGCACCACTGTAGTTCTACTACCCCTATTCCATTGAACAAGATGTACAACACTCTATACTGCCGCAGGGAAGTAGCTTTCTGAGGGAGGACTTGTCAACAGATTCGGAGAGGAAATTTATCAACCTGTCAAACCGCACTGGGGTTCTTGTTTTGTTTTTTAAAACTATCCAGAGCATCACTGGTTATTTTCCACTGGGTCAGTCCGGGCCCATAAGCACCGGCTATTTTTTAATTCCCTTAGCTAGTGGCAACTTATTTCCCCATAAATATAAACATTAATGATAGGGGCAAGACAGCAGCCACTCAACCCGGATTAAAATGGAAAGCTAATGATATTGCATCCGTTTCCAGGGAAAAGTTTAGCAGATTAATTCTTCTCTCCCCCACGCCCTCCTTCCTTCAGTTCTTTCCACAGCAACTCCATTATTGCAAAAGGCCCCTTCCCTTCCCTTCAGCCTTATGTAAAATCTCACCGGAGAGACAGGGAAAAAAGACCTTTTAAACGTCCTCACCAACCACCACCACCAGGCGGAAGAAACAGAGACGCAGCCCCCTAAATCATGACAGGGCAATAGTGGAAGCCCACCTCTTCCCTTGAAGCATGCACACAAAGAGAGGCTGCGTTGCCCCCATTGATAAAAAAATAAATTAAGAGGGCGTCGGGCAGACGAGGCGGATTCACCGGAGCGTCTGCGCAGGCAGGTGAACATGTTAGACACCGGTTGCAGAGGATGCAAGCATGCATGCACTCCGGCTGCAAAGCGCCCGAGCGGGGAGCCGCTGGGTGGAAGCGATGCAGCGAAATAACGCTGAAATAATGCAAAACGTCCAAAACGAGCAAGCCCACGCTGCCGTCTCTTTCTCGCCGCGTCCAAACCCAAGTTACCTTTGGACAGCGAAACGGTTTGGGGTCGTGTTTTGCCTTTTTAGCGTATTGGGGGGGGTGTCTGGAGATAGGCAGCCGTCGCCACGCCAGTTCCCCCCCTGTATCCCTCCCCCAGCCCGCGATGGCAAGGCGCCCACCACTCCCTGCGCGCCCACCGGAGCGGCAAGCGGCGTCAATCGAGACCCCAATAAAGTCCTCCCGGGGCCCGCCAGCCCCGGACGCACAGCCCCGGTCCTTTCCACCACCACCACCCCGCCTCCCGATCGGAAGAATTATGACTGCAGCGATTACGATGGTGATGGGCTCGCCGCTCGCCCTATCCCCAAACACACGCATGCACGCACACACACACACACAAACACAGCGAGGAGAGAGTGCCTTTCCTCCAGCAACCACCGGCGTCCATAGCTCGCCCTTGCGCTCCCACCAGCAAAGCCCCGCAAATCGCATTCCAGCGCCGCCCTCTCCCCGCGCAAAAACCACTCCAAAAAAGCCCCGTCTTTGCAAACCTGCGAAGGGAGAAGAAGCGCTTCTTTCCTCCGAGCCCGAGATCCTCCAGCGGATCCGAAGGGGGTTGCAGAAGACGGAGGCGGCGGCTCCTCCCGCACGCCGCCTTCTCCTTCCCCTTCTCCTCCTCCCTCCCCGCCTCCCGCGATCCGCTGCAGCATGCAGAAAAAAGAAGCAAGCGCCCTTTACCTGCTGCTGCTCTCCAACTTCTTGATCCTCTCTGCTATTTTGTTGCATTGATCCCCAGGAACAGCTTCGCGGGCCCTTCGCTGCGCGCCCAGCAGCAACTGATGGGAATGGCAACGGGGGCGGCCAGCGAAGGAGGAGGAGTTGGTGCCAGTGTGTAACAAGTTTGGGTTGCCCCGCAGTATGGCGGCGGAGGGAGGAGAAGCAGCGGCAGCACAGCGGCGAGGCGCGCTCCTGCTCTGCAGCCAGCCAAGCCAGCCAGGGGAAGGGGCCGGGGGTGCCCCGGCCGGCGTCGAGGGGCGGGGAGATTCAAAAGCTTGGAGCTCGTCGGGGAAAGGAAGAAAGGGAAGGCGCACGGCGGCGCTGCCTGCGTTTTGTTGCTCTGCCCGCCGCGGCAGGGAGGCGCTTCGTTTGCCCCAATCTCTCTCCACGTGCGCCTTCCCCAACCTCGCCACATGCGCCCTCCTCTCGGAAGCCAGAGGCAAACCTGGACGTCCGAGGCGTAAAACATACAAAACACACGTAGCCCTCCAAGATTGGGACACACACCGATTTCCACATTTTCTGCCCGCGTGCTACTGGCCTTTTCTGGGAACAGGTTGCATCAACGCTCCTAGGCAACATCAGGGTGTAAACCCGTGGTTCCCAACGCGGGGCACATGCCCCACAGGGAGGCAATTTGATTTTTTTAAAGGGGGGCAATCCGAGAATAAGTTATTTAACAGTGAATGGCTTTTTAGGCATCCTCCACCTGAATAGGACTTCACTTTTTGAATAATAAGAATTATTATTGTCACAGGGCCGGATTTAGGTATAAGCTAAAGAAGCTATAGTTTAGGGCCCCACTCTCTTGGGGGCCCCAAAACAATTAAAGGAAAAAAATGGATGTATGTTTCCAAAATATAAGATAAATAAACAAATAAATAAAATAAAAACAAATAAAATAAAACCAACATACAGCAAGTGTTTTGTGTTGTGTAGGCTCCTATGGTGTAAGTAAAGTAAAGCCTGCTAACTAATATATCACTGCTTTGCTATTATTATTATTTCATGTTATAGCAAGTTTCTAGACACTGGATTATGAGTCTTTGTAGTTTGTGTTTCTAAAGGAACTTGTTATTGCCAAATGCCAATGTGTTTGCATTATTTTGTTATGAATAAAAAATCATTTTAAGTTAGAGCTTAATAATTATTTCACTATTAATATACTTCTTAATTGTATTTCAGTTCAACAATTACTTTGATAAAATAGACGTTTTGTTATGTGCGAATGGCTTTAGATACCTATTAGGTCTGTAAATTACCGTATAGCATATATTCAACACAAAAAAACAGCAACAGTTTGTTGTTGACAAAGGACAGCTGGACATATAAAGGACCCCATTACCTTCAGTAGTTTAGGGCCTCATCGAACCTAAATCCAACCCTGGGCGTTCATCAGGATTTTATAGATGCTTAGGCGGGGCATAGCCAAAAAAGGTTGGGAACCACTGGTGTAAATGGATGCCGCAAAGCTCCGAGGTGGCTTTCTTTTCTTGTAATATTTTTTATTAAATTTTCAAAGGTTTTTAACCAGTTTACTTCGCGTACAATATACCTGTGGTTCCCAGTTAGCTAAGGACTGCAGATCCCCTGCTTTTCAAAAGCCAAGCCATGGACTCCCTACTTTTGAAATTTATGATAACTCTATGGTAGTTTTTGTTATGTGAAGGGTGTCACAGACACCCTGGACCACCAATGGTGAACCATAGCAATATAGCATTCACTTTTGTTTTTATTTTTTATTTCTCACCTCCCTCTCACCCTGATGTTTTTATTCTTATCCTTAGTTGCTGATTTATTTATACTTGTTGCTAAACTCTGTCTGAACATCTTTTTTGCTGCCTCTCTTATCTTGAATCCTGCTCACGATATCACTAAAATGCTGTGGCATATAGTAAAAAAAAGGCCTCCAGTTTTCCATAAACAGTTCATCATTTTGATGATGGCTTGTTTTTCGTAAGGGGGAGGTGTAAGAATCCCACTTTTTTGTTGTTATATTGAGCAACACTGCATTTTAATGTGTGTCCCTTTCCTGCTTCAGAAGTAAAATAGCCATGCAAATTATTTACCCCACATAAAAGGTCTCAAAAAACTTTTGCTCTTTTTGTCAAACTTATTGTATAAACTGAAGGAAATGAAGTGCAGGAGAGCTGATAGTGATGAAAGGAATAATGATGGAGGCATGAAGCAAAACTAATTTAAAGATGTATCATCACACCCATTGGTTGTTCTAGGTAGGATTTGATTGCAAGTATGGGTGGTGGTTGTTTTGTGTTTAGCAAAAGATTGGTTTATCCATTAATTTTCAATTCATTATATATCATTTCCCAGTAAGCTTTAACCTTACTACCACCACATATAATAAAAAGAACCTTCTTTTTCTTTACTTTTCCAACACTTATTTGATTTGGATTTATACATTTTTGCCAATTTACTTGGTGTTAGGTACCATCAATATATCATTTTCATATAATTTTCTCTTAGACTGTAACATGCTGTAAATTTTATATTCATATTCCTCAATAGTTCCCATGTTTCCATATCTATATTATGACCAATATCTATTGCCCAATGTATCATTGAGGATTTTATTTGCTCATCCTTTGTCTCCCATTCCAGTAATATCTTATACATTTTAGACAACACTTTTACATTGCATTCCAACAGGTCTCTCTCCAGTTGTGATATATCTCTAAACCCTTGTATCCTATCTTTCTTAAATACCTCATTCAAATGATGATATTATATCCATGTTGTTAGTTTTCCTGATAATTCCTCAAATTCTTTTAATTTATACACTCCTCCCCCTTGTTTACTTAAATTTCTATAAGTTGTCCACCCTTCTATCATATTCTTTTTCTTTACCAACATAGCTTCCAACAGTGAGAGCCAATGTAGTGTTTTTACCTCTAATAGATTTTTGTATTTATCCCATACTCTATACAATTTTTTTCCTAATTATATGATTTGTAAATCCTTTATGTACTTTCACCTTTTCATACCATAGATAAATGTGCCAACCAAAATTTTTATCATGACCTTTTAAGTCTAGAATATTTGAACTCTCCAATGTCATCCATTCCTTCAACCAACAAAGACAAGATGCTTCATAGTATAATCTCATATCCAGGAGGGAGAAACCTCCTCTCTCTCTTGCATCTATCAATATTTTATATTTTATTCTTGGGTTTTTTCCTTGCCAAATATATTTAGAAATATCTTTTTTGCCACACATTGAAGCAATCTGTCTTGTCAATCACTGGAATTGTTTGAAGCACAAATAACATTCTAGGTAATATGTTCAATTTTATAGTCGATTAATGGTTTAGCCTTTCATTTTGGTGGGTCAATTCCAATGTAATCAGCAGTTTTATCCCCTTATATTCAAATAATACCTTTTAGTGTGGAAAGCTCATGAAATGGGCAAAACAATTTGAAATACCACTGGTCTCTGCCCTTGGCATTAGTTTCAAATCACAGTATTGGAAACCAGAAGACAGAAAAATCTGGACATTGTAGTTTTGCCGGCTCTCAAGCAATTTCTTAGAATTTTACCTAAAAACCACTTTGAGGCTGTTGCTTTTTATAATCAAGCAGTGTATACATTTTATGAAATAAAGTAAATAAATTATTATTTGCCTTTCTTCCAAAGAGCTCAGTTGGGTACCGTTGTCCCTTCCTTTTATCTTCACAACCCCCCTGTGAGGTGTATTAAGCTGAAAAGAAATGTCAGAGGCAAGGTGAGCTTTGTGACTAAGTGGGAATTTGACCCAAGACTCCCCAGCAGATCCTAACCACTGTACCACACTGCCTTGCTTTCTGCTCATGCACTTTTCCCTCAGTCCCTCATGCACAATAAAGGGATACATCGGTTTGTCGCACCTAACTCTCTTCCAGCTTTCAGAAAGGAAACAGTTAAAGGATGATACAGCCAGCCTCTCTTGTATGCAGCTGCTGCTAATTGTGTTTATCAGTCAATGAATGATTATATGACTGTGTCAGCTCAGGATAGCTGAGCATTTATTAGTATAAAGAAGAACAGGGGCTGGTAGTATCTTCAGGAATCATTGCACTGGGCTGACGATTGCTATCATAAATAAAGCTCATCTTTTGTGGGGGTTTGCTGTTAATCGCATTCTTAATTTTGCATGTCATTGTGGGTGTTTTGTCTTGTTCTAAACGATTGGACCACTTGTGCAGAAACTTGTAAATAAATGGCCTGTAAATGAGTGTTTAGCTCAGAAATTAGAAGAGAGAAAAATAATCAGTGTCATTTCACAGCGTGTATCCATGTAAATTTGTCCATGTGAAAAACGGGGAAACCAGTTTATCACCTCTTCCTTCCGCAGACTGCAGATACGTCAGAGCAAACCAGCTACAATCTATGTCATTTTGTAATGGAAGCCCTATTCACAGAACCTGAATTACATCCTTCAGACGGGCAGACAATGCATGGGTAGGAAACAGCAGAGTGAGATGCTACGTTTATGACCAAAGATGCTTTTGCTGATCTGCTGATGAGCTATCGATCACCATCATGCTCATTTTGCAGGACTGCAATGGCCACTTGGTTTGCATTATAGATTACTTAACTGCTGGTATGTGTCTACTTTTTCCCCCTCCTCCACAATATGAGAAAATACTAGCATCAGTGATGCCTAGTTTGGCTGCAAAGCTTGAAGGTGGCATGTTTGAAAAACAGTGGACATTTGCATTTTTTATTAAAAAGCATTACAGTGGTACATACGCCTCAGGTTACATACGCTTCAGTTTGCAGACTCCACTAACCCAGAAATAGTTAAGAACTTTGCTTCAGGATGAGAACAGAAATTGTGCGCTGGCTGCACAGCGGCAGCAGGAGGCCCCATTAGCTAAAGTGGTGCTTCACGTTAAGAACAGTTTCAGGTTAAGAACGGACCTCCGGAACGAATTAAGTACTTAACGCAAGGTACCACTGTATAGTAATTAAAAGCACCTGAACTTTAAAAGTGGATCACAAACTAGGAGGCAATAATAAATGTCTTTTGCCCTGTTGGTCTCTTGCTCCCTTCCTGAATGCCAGAAATTTACTTCAAGACAGCATTAGAAACTGAGATACGAAAGCTAGGAGCTGAATGGCACCTTAAGGTTATGGGCACAACAATGGAATGTCTAGGCACGCTTTCTTATAACGAGAATACAAAGCTGAAAATGAATGAACTGCAGCTAAAATATTATCTTCATTTTTCACATGGTCTAGTCCTTCTCCTGCCCACCCCTCTAATATTCTTAAGAGGGTCTCTTCTCCAGTCTTCAGAGAGTAGCTGGAAGTGGGGAGGCAGAAAAAAGGTCCTCTTTTCCTTCCAATGCGCAGTTTTAATCTGAAATCTTAGGCACGGTACCGTGTCCAGAGCTCAGAAACTGCTCACACTAATGAAATTCCCTGTTGCAAAATGCTCCTAGAACAATGGGCGTTTCAAACACTGCTTCAAGTAGAAAAGAAATATCCCGAATGATAACACCTATCCTGTCACTCTCGTAAAAAGTTTATTTGCATCATCAGCCTAACCACGTCTATTAGTAGGTAAGTCCTATGGAATTCAGTAGAGCTTACTCGCAGGTAAGTGGGGTTAGAATTGCAGCCTTACACAACATTATTTGGGAAGCAATATGTTAAATGAGTTAAAGGATGGCAATATGCTATATACCGTAACTATGTCTCATTGCCATTTGGGGGCAAGATGGCTCTAAAGTCTTATTTGTCAAACGATGTTCTGACTGTGATTGATTCTAGCTAGTTCTGATAGAATACAACAGATAGCATTCTACAGAACGGGGTGTTAGTGTGTGAAAAGAGTCCAACATCCAAAGATCCTCAGGCATGCACCTCCAAATGGTGGAGACATCAGGAGCCATCCTGATCCCTAGGCATCTTCACTTGGTTGCAAGCGGTCCAAAGCAAGGTGCAAAATGCGCCTGGCTAATTGCAAACCCTGCAAATGCCTAACGATCGTGCATGAGAGGCGGATGCAAAACAGGCCTGGACAGCATGTGACCTGCCTGCCAAGCTGAAGGTACAAAACCAGCCACATTTTTGTGGTAACCTCTATCTTTTCCAGCCCTAGGCAGGGACCAAACCCACCTTTCAGCAGATGTAGCTGATGGCCTGTGCTCAGCTTCGTAGGTTACATGCCGTACGGCCCTTCCTATGATAGAAAAACAAATTAACATCACCTGTGTCATGAGGTTTACTGTTAGTGTTTTCATAGCAAGAATGAGAGTTTGCAGAAGATCCCAGGGTGCACTTAGTGAGGTGTGCTGCTGTTGCAACATCTGCAAACTCTGTTTGTTGATGTGTGCCCTGAGGCTGTGTTGCTGTAAGCTCTTCTTTGCCAGGGTCTCTGCTGGCACAGCCTAACCAATTCAGAATCTTGTCTGTTCGTACAGTTGGGAGTTGCACCTTAAAAGAAAACTGAGAGCTGCGATCCTGCACATCAAATCCAAACATGCTTCTCTGGCCCTTCTGTTCTGTGACTCAGCCGGCCTCTGTCCTGTGAGTAGTGACAAGATCGCTCATAATGTGTGACGTGGAACTGACTACCAAATATTTATGTGCAAACCACAAAACTTGTGGGAAGATTAATCATGGCTAGAATTTAGAGCAGACCGGTCAGGCTGAAGACCAGTCATTCACTGCTTTTTCTTTTTTTCTTTACTTTTTTGCAGAGTCATCCAGACGCATGGTCTTGAAGTTAGCTTGGTTAATTTAGGTGACGGTAGGAGCTATTGCAGAGTGGTTTTGAGACCAAAACATACAAGACGTAATTAAACACCATTAGAAGCCAAGCACACCCTTTTAAGTAGACATGAATAAGTACCTCAAACAAATATTCAACTCTGGTTCAGTTTGAACATATCTGCTGTTGCGTTCAGAGGAGTCCTTTGCCCCAAGGCATGACCCCCCCATACATATTTTTTAATTAAATACTGTGTTTCTACAACATCAGAAGGAAAATAAATTAAGAACAGAAAATCGAATTAAAGTGAAATGTAAGGACCGTTCCTACTCGCACACAAAAATCATTTCACTCTCACACGGTAAGAGCTATGAATTTAAAAAAATTAAACATAGAGCAGCACAAGGAAACACGCAAGTTAACTTTAGTCAGCACTGAGGGTAGAAAGCTTTTTGCAGGAGGGACTGCATATACTGTTTACAGTTGTACCTCGGAAGTCGAACGGAATCCGTTCCGGAAGTCCTTCAGCCAATCAGAAGCCATGGAAGCAGCGACGGGTGTTCGGGTTCCAAAGAACGTTCGTAAACCGGAACAATCACTTCCGTGTTTGCGGCGTTTGGGAGCCAAAACGTTCGTCTCGCAAGGCGTTTGACTTCCGAGGTACGGATGTATTTGCAAAAGGGAAGAGCAATGCAGGTCCCCACAAGATTATACAGTCATACCTTGGCTTAAAGTAGCTTCGGGTTGCGCTCTGCGGCGACCTGGAAGTAACGGAAAGCGTTACTTCCAGGTTTCGCCGCTCGCACATGCACAGACGCTCAAAATGATGTCGCGCATGCGCAGACGTGGCAAATTGCGACACGCACAGACACGAGTTGCGTTTGCTTCAGGATGCGAACAGGGCTCTGGAACGGATCCCATTCGCATCCAGAGGTACCACTGTATTATATTTTGAATATATTCTGACTTGTTTATTTATTTTTTATTATTATTTTTTTGATGGATTATTCAATCTTGGTGCAGAGATTTTTATTCTACTACATAGCAGAAGTTCCAACTTGCAAGGGTATTGGTCTTCGTGATAGAAAAGTAACATTAACAGCGGATTCCCATGCCAATTGCCATAAATGTCCCAAAAGTTCCACCACTCTGCATCATGGTTTTGCCAACACCACCCATCAGTTCTCGCCCTCTCATGCCAAACCTGAGACAAGATAATGTGCCAAACAGTGCACCTGCTGCCATACCAACAGCAAAGCCCATCATGAAGCCCATCTTCACTCTGTCAAAGCAACTGGGTTGGGATTGGCCATATGGCCCCACTGTCACAGGCATCTCGACCACTCCACGCTTCATTCCACCCCCTGACTTGTTTATTTTCTGCATTTATATAGTTCCTTTGACTTCAAGGAGTTCAAGGTGGTGTACATGATTCTCCCCTTGCTCCTTTAATCCCCAATGGAACCTATGAGGTGGGTTAGGCTAAGAGGCAGTGACTGGCCCAAGCTCACCCAGTGAGCTTCACAGCCAGGTGGGGATTTGAACCCTTGGTCTCCCAGGTTCCAGTCTGACTCCCCAACCACTACACCACACTAGCTCTCTCATTTCTGCTCAGATGGTATTGAGACAGTCATACACCTTCCCACTTTCAATACTGTTGGCGCCTGCATGTGTTTTGGGGTGGACATATTGCTTCATTTCCTGTCAGTTCATGCTTGTAGCTTCCTTCTGAAATCCTGTGACATTTTCTGCTGCAAATGTTGCGGTGGTCTTTTTTTGTTCTCCTTTTGGTTGCGTTAGATTTCAGGGGTGCCCCTCCAGGTGGCAAAAACGTGGTGATATTGCAACATCACCACAAAACAACAGATAAACTGGAATAATCTGTGGACACTCCAATATCAATCCAAAACTATTATTGCATCAATGGCATGTTGCCAAATACACCTGCAAAAATAGGGGGAGGTGCCCCTAAATGTGTGATGGCATTGCTGACAAAGAATACAGCGGTACCTCGGGTTAAGTACTTAATTTGTTCCGGAGGTCCGTTCTTAACCTGAAGCACCACTTTAGCTAATGGGGCCTCCTGCTGCCGCCGCGCTGCTGGAGCACGATTTCTCTTCTCATCCTGAAGCAAAGTTCTTAACCCAAGGTACTATTTCTGGGTTAGCTGAGTCTGTAACATGAAGCGTATGTAACCTGAAGTGTATGTAACCCGAGGCACCACTGTTTAAAAAGCATATAGATCAAGGATGATGATGTGAAAGAACCAGGTACTTTGCATGACCAGAAAAAAAGAAAAAAGCTTAGCATATAAGTTCCTGACGAGCATAAAATTTCAAATTTGTAATTCCTTGACAAATGCCATGCTGGTAAATGAGGCCCTAAGTGACACATTCGCTCAGTTTCCTAAGTGAATGAAGAAGCTACGTTGCCATTTTTAGCAGAGGGCATAATTAATTGCACAAACCGAAAGTTCAGTTATGCGCTTCAATCCCTCTTGCAAAACGCTGACAGTCTGGGGCATGGGTAGGCAAACTAAGGCCTGGGGGCCGGATCTGGCCCAATCGCCTTCGAATTGCGACCCACGGACAGTCCAGGAATCAGTGTGTTTTTACATGAGTAGAATGTGTGCTTTTATTTAAAATGCATCTCTGGGTTATTTGTGGGGCATAGGAATTTGTTCATTTTTCATCCATTCGTCTGGCCCCCCACAAGGTCTGAGGGACAGTGGACCGGCCCCCTGCTGAAAAAGTTTGCTGACCCCTGGTCTGGAGGAACTGCAATTTCGCTCTTATTCTCATGTTAACACGGTACTGTTTAAGATCTTCCCCTTCCCTTCTCTAGTCATTCTCTAGCTCATTCACAGGAGCAGCAAGTACAAAATGTAAGCTGTCAATTGACAGAATGGAGCCACAGTCACTTTATCCTTGAAGCACACCTGGAGCTGCCTCGATCGCAAGGTAGTTCTTGCTGTATTGTGAGAATGGGCAGAGGTGGAGCTAGCTGCCCCGGCACCTGGAGCGGCGCATATGCTGTGCCCATGGGGGCGGGGCAAGCAGCCCATGGGGGCGGAGCAAGCCGCCCATGGCGGGCTGCTTCCTGTGCAGAGGAAGAGGGAACCGCTCCACTTTGCCAGCACCCTTCCTCCCTTCCCTCTTCCTTTTGACAGCTCAGAGGAGACTCCCCCCCCCAGGAAGCAGCCCAGGAGTGGGGGGCAATGGCGCACCACCCGCCTGCGACTCCCAAGCCTCCCCCGAGCTGTCAAAATGAAGGGGGAAGGGGGGAAGGCCACCGGCAAGGCGCATAGCTGTCAACTTTCAGATTTGAAAATAAAGGATCAGCAGCCTCACCTGTCCCAGGGACAGTCTATGGGATATCTAACAATCCGGGATAGCAGCGGGAAATGGCTCTGGAATAAGGGAATTTCCTGCAAAAAAAAGGGAAGGTTGACAGCTATGGCAAGGCGGCACAGCTCCACCCCTTCCCCCTGACGGCTCAGGGAAGGCTTGGGAGCTGCCGGCGGGTGGCACGCTGAATGTCACCCCCCTCAGTGATGACACCCAGGGGGAGGCACCCCCGCCGACCCCTTTCCTCCGCCCCTGTGAATGGGCAGCTCATCCCACACTGCTTGCATGAGTCGCTCACTGCACTCCTAACCATAGGGGCTGCCCCAGTTAGTGCAACAGAAGCAGTCAGACCACCTGCACACGCATTGGCGTGCAAGCATACAGACCGGCTGCCTTCACTGCAATGAATGGGACAACCTGGAAAAGCAAGGATGGAGAAAGGGGGGGGGGCAGAAGGGCCATTTGGCCTGGGGCTTCAAGCTCAAAGTGGGCCTCAGATTCAGCCACATTAATTTTTTGCCAGTTGAAACGTTTCACTACTTGTCTTTATGAGCATCAGACCACATTGTGACATGCTCTCTCAGCTCAGAGCTGCAAATTGAAGTAAGTAAGAGGTGCATTTTGGTAAGAGATTTTTATGACTCTTGTTGCTAACTGACAGATTTCTTGTCATATGCTTTATTATCAACAGCAACATTGCATAAAACTGAGGTTTTCCCTCAATAATTAGTGTGTTTGCACACAAAAAGGCCAGGGACGTATTTCCTAAAAAGATAATTCAACTTTCCCCACTCTGTTTCATTTACGTATTTTATCCTTTTTTGGTTTTATTGTGGTGGGGGCCCTCTGAGAGGGCCTGACACCAACACTTGGGATGGCTGAGGCCCAAGATCAGGACAATCATGGAAGATAAGAAATGCCAGAACTGATGGGGTGAGGTGCACCATGGGAGATGGTACAAAAAGGGAAATTTAACGGAAAGCCTGCAGTCCCTCTGTGGTTTCTGCTTCCCTTAAAATGTGTGTGATCAAGACATCCTGAAGCTGTCATTTAGCAGGAGCAACATTAATTAGGAATCTTGCTGCTGTCATGGCAACATTAAGCACTGTTGTTACGTAAGAGTCAATTGCCTCAATATATATGCCTACTCCTTTCTGTACTACTACTTACAGACCCTCCATGTGTTCCCATTTTCCAGGGACGTCCCTGATTTAGAGAAGCCATCCCAGTTTCTGATTTGATCTTGGAATGTCCCACTTTTCCTTAAAGGTAAAGTAAAGGGGCCCCTGACCATTAGGTCCAGTCGTGGCCGACTCTGGGGTTGCGGCACTCATCTCGCTTTATTAGCCAAGGGAGCTGGCATACAGCTTCCGGGTCATGTGGCCAGCATGACTAAGCCGCTTCTGGCGAACCAGAGCAGCGCACGGAAACGCCATTTACCTTCCCGTCGGAGCGGTACCTATTATCTACTTGCACTTTGACGTGCTTTCGAACTGCTAGGTTGGCAGGAGCAGGGACTGAGCAATGGGAGCTCACCCTGTCACGGGGATTCAAACCGCCGACCTTCTGATCAGCAAGTCCTAGGCTCTGTGGTTTAACCCACAGCGCCTCCCTCCCTATTTTTATTGTAGAAATGTTAGAGGGTATGGAGTTACCCGACCTCCGAGCCGTCTGAAGGCAATCCTGTAAAGGGAAGTTTTTTGTTAATGTTTAATGTTTTCTTACGTTTTTATAGATGTTGGAAGCTGCCCAGAGTGGCTGGGGCAACGCAGTAAGATGTGTGAGGTATAAATAGCAAAATTATCAGTATGGAATGGGACGTCCCTATTTTCATGGGAGAAATGTCGGAGGGTATGTAGTTATGTTCTGCTACTTCATAATAACCAGTAATGAATTCTATTGCTTTCAGACTGTTAAGCCGTTTCTGCATTGCAAGGCATTGAAACGGTGCTTTGCATCAAGATGGATTGATTCCGAAGGCGTTAGTAACTAACGCTAAGCATGTTTGTGAGTGCCCTGACATAGCAGTCAAGCCCCATTTCTTTACTGGTGCTGCAGTCCTTAGGAATGGAACGGGGAGAGAAATAAAAGCGTGATGAGTAATCCCGTTCTTGCAGCTGCTTCTCTAATTTCCCTAGAGTCAATTGCGGGTGAACAAGGCACTGCTCCACCAACCTCAGGCTGCTCTCAGCCAGTCCCAACCTCCCTGCCTCTATACTTGCGACCAGCTGTGAGGCTGTGGCTGTTAGCATCTTTCCTACTAATCTCACTTTTGCTCTTGTAGGGAGGAGGTTGGGGACAAAACCAGAATGAGCTGACTTTGTCCACCATTTTCTCTGCCTCTGCTTGTCATTGGCTCTCGCGCTACCTTAGTGTTGCTGTAAAGTAAAAACCAGGACTTTTAAAAATAAAGACCCCAAGATTGTTGAACCACCAAAATTGTTGAGTTTTTTACAGGAAAACCCAAAAGTTGTTGAGCTTACTTTGAACAAACCGTGATTTTCTGTTACGTGATCTTCCGTACGCGAAGATCCAGGACACCCTGCTGCCTTCCGGAAATATCCCCCCAGACGTCACTTCCGACTTTGAAATCCCAGTAATGTCCAGGAAAATCTGGACATACGACAGCCCTACTCCCATGCTTTCTCTCCCAGTTCCATGGGGCACCAGCCACCACTGACTAGGGCTTGAACTGTTGCAAAAGCTGAGTTCCTGTAATGAATCTGTCCAGCCAACCGCTGAACCACAAAAGAAGAAGTTATCGTCTAAAATAATCCCATGAATGAAATGAGAAACGAGACACTTCCTTTTCATCTGTTCCTTTCTCTTAACTCGCCTTTGTTTTACTGGCAGGATTTCACTTGCCTATGATCTTTGTCCTTCTCAGTTTATAAATGCATGCGAAGACCTGATGTAACTTGCTGCCCCGTTAACTGAATCCCTTTTACCTAAGCGAAACCAGGTCATCCTTCCCTGAAGGATAGAGTTTCGCAGGCTTTTTGGTTGTTT